GTGGGAGTTTAACTGTATCTCATCATTTCATGTTACAGTACCTTGGTAACAATGGGAAGATTGAATTCATAGGCATGTCACATTGTAATCTTCTCTGATGAACCATCTAGTCTTACCCTTTGACCACTTTTTAAATTGAGCTATTCATTTTATTATTGCCAAGTTTTAGGATTCTTTGTATAGTCTAGGTACAAGTCCTTTATTATACATGGCTGTGCTTTGAATTATTTTTTTCTAATCTATGATATGTCTTTTGCATATTTTAACATGTCTCTCACAGAAAAGTATATAATTTGAACAAAATATAATTTATCAATTCTTTATATAAGTTGTGCTTTGGGTGAAAAATATATCATCAAAGACAAGGCCACTTAGATTTTTTTTTCCATTTTCTTCTAAATGTTTTGGAGTATTGTTTTGTCCATAAGTCTATGGCACATTTTCAATGAGTTTTTATAATAGAGGAAAGGTTTGTGCCTAGTTTTGAATGTAGATATCCAGTTGTTCTTGTACCATTTGGAGAAAAGACTATCATTTCTGCATTGAAGTACCTTTGTCAAAGTTCGATTGAGTATATGTGTGTGGACCTAATTCTGAGGCATCTGCTTTGCTCCACTGACCCATTTGTCTTTGCCACCAATGCCACATGATATTAGATTATAGTTAATTCTTGAAGGTAGGTAGTATCAGTTGTAATATTGTTCTTCAGTATTGTGTTGGATATTCTGTAACTTTTCTCTTTCCATATAAACTTAGAATCTATTTCTTAATATACAATTAGCTTGTCGAATTCTTTTTTTGGGGGGGGGAGGCTGTGTGGACTCCACAGACCAATTTGGAAAAGCATGGTATTTTAACACTATCCAAATTTTAATCCGTGAATCCAAAGTATCTCTAAATTTGCCATTTTTTCTTTTTTTCATTATATTTGGCTTTCTAGCACACAGATCCCACATATGTTTTGTTAAAATTATATCTAAATATTTTGTTCTTTCTGTTGTGATACTAAATACTTTAAACAAAAAATTTAATTCTGTATTCCCTATATACAGGTAGAAATCTGACTTTGTATAAAGAAGGCTTATATGATCCAAACTATACTTACTTAATAGTTTAGTTTACTAGATTTCTGGCTAATTATTTGGGATTTTTGACAAAATTACCTATGAACAGTATTATTGTTTTTTTTTAGTTCCTAATCCATGAACTTTCAATTTCCTTGGTTTTAATTCACTGGACAACACTTCCAGTATGCTGTCAAAAAGGAGTGGTTAAAGAGGATACTCTTATTTTGTTCTGAACTAAAGGGGGAAATATCTACTTTACTTTCAGGCATGATACATGGTATTGTAGCTATTCTTCACTAATTTAAGGATATTCTTCTCTTTTCATAGTTCATTAAGTTTTAAAACATGAATGGATGCCAAGGCATTTTTCAAATGCTTTTTCTACATCACATGAAACGAACACATGGTTTTTCTTATTTAGTCTATTTGGTATGATAGACTATATTTGATTTCCAAATGTTAAACCAGCTTTAGATGTCTGTTGATAATAATATGTAATTATCTCTATACATTATTAAATCTCATTTTCTAATATTTTGAGTTAAATATAAAGACTCAAGAGAACATATTAATGCTTTCATTAGCATATATTAATTATATATAATATTGGATTTCATTATGACACTCAAAATGTTTTGATTTTTGCTTTATGAATAAGATAGGAGGTTGCAATTTTCTTTTATTGTAATGTTTTTAACTGATTTCTATAAGCTAAGTCTCGTTTCACAAAATGTGTTCTTTCTGCTTCTGTTTTACAGAATGAGAAAATCGTTTTATCTTATCTCCGTATATTCTTTTTTCTGTGTTCTTCCTTTACATAGATCTGGATTACTAATCTATCTAATGTTCTTAGACTCTGGAGTACAACTGTGACAAATTCTCTAGATTCTTGTTTGTCTGGGAAACTGTTACTGTGCTACAACTGTTGTGAAAGGATCCATTTTCTGGATAAACTTCTATGTAGGTAGGAGGTTTTCTCTCTAACCATGAAGATTTCATTACAGTTTCTTCTTGCTTGTGGTAAGTCTGATGTAATTCTCTTTGATCTTATATAAAGTATTCCTTTTTTTCTTGTCTTGTATTTCTGTAGTTTGACTATATTATGCTTATGTGCAGTTTTTGATATTCATCTTGCTTAACGTTCTCTTAGATTCCTGTATGTATGGCTAATCTGCCACTATGTTCAAAAAATATTCAGAAACTAATAGTCCGAATCATTCTTTTTGTTCTTGTTCTTACACCTCCCTCCCCTTTCATTCCCCTTCTTACATGTCCTCTATCTCTCCCACACACAATTAAAATATAAATCTTTAAAAAAAGAAAAAATAACTCATTAAGGCAGAAATATCAAATGGTGGGTAAAGAAACAGAAAGCTAGCTCACAGAGGGTAGGAAAAGGCTAATAAATGTAAAAATGTGTATATCTTTACTGGAAATGAGGAATTTGCAATATAAAGATAAATTATGTGTCCAAACTATTAAACTCTAATATAAAATCTTGGTTTGGAAGTTAGCTATAGCTCACTATGATGTTATGATAGCGAGAGATAAAGTTGGGACAGAATCTGGATTTCAAACAAGGGGTAGTGCATGTTTTAAGGCTCTTTTAATTGTCGAGCTAAAATTGGTTTTGTCTCTTCTACAGTATTTATTGTAAGTTGTATTGACTGTATAATTTCCAATTATATTAGTGTGTAGAAGCCTGGCATGTCTGTTATGGGGTTCTATCAACCAGCTTTCGTCTCACTGCCCTGAGTATTAGAAAACCTTGATTCACTGAAAAAAGCTTGAAAGTGCTGGAAGAAGTGAGTTAGGCTTTAAGCAGAAGCAAGAGGGTAGCAGGCTTGATTATTGTTGGTATAACAGCTTTAATTCCATTAATTGCTAGCACCACTTCTTCTGCAATAGCATTGACACAAGGAGTTAAGACAACTATTTTTGTTAACCATCTAGCAAAAAATGTTACTAATGTATTGAGTATACAAAAGGATTTATATAGGTATCTGTAACACCACATGATGCTCTATAACCCATTCAAATTATCTGGATGAAGTTCAGAGTTCAAGAGTTTAGGAGCCATCCCAAGTGTCATGACAAATATCATTGGAGTAGTGTTACTTTTGAAATTCACAATGATTTTCATTATAATTAGAAAAAAGTTTAAAGACACCCGTAGGATATTTGGCATAATCCTAACACCTCTCTGGATGTTTTAATTTTGCATAGTGATATTATGAATATAAAGAATGCTGCTCTGTTGACCTTTGATGCTGCAGATAATGCTGATAAGATTATCCATGGCCTGAGGTCAGTATTTCCATTTTGGTCAAACCTCAGGAATGGCATATATAGCTTGATTAGGCTAGCCCTTCTTGTCCTGGGAATACTTTTATTCCTGCTCATCGTGTTAAAGCTTGTCTCTAACTACATCAACAGGCTGGCAGCCAAAGAACATGACTTGAAACTGATAATGGACCCCCAGACAGAGTTATTAATTTAACAGGCTAGCAAGCCAAGGATGGGTAAGATTCTGCACAGAGCCTTGCCAACCTAGACAGAAGTGCATTGCTTTTTTTTTTAGTCAAAACAGTAAGAAAAAAATATGTAAAGTATGACATTATCTATATAGTTTCAAACTGTATAAAAAGATATTTGTGAATATTTATGAGTAGCTAAGATATATCTTCAGTTAAGGTAGAGTTATATCCTTGATGTACCAGGTAGGGCCTTCCCCTTCTCAGAGGAAAAGGAGGTGGGGATGGCAGGAGGAGCTGTGCAGGGTGTTGGGAGGAGGGGGGCTGATATTGGGATATAAAGTGAATAAATAAATAAATTTATTAAAAAAAAACAAGATAGGGTCATGTCTTGATAAATCCTATTTAACTTGAAAACATCCTAAATTGGAAACACACTTAATATATTCTATGGAACACTGCAGCTTAACCTAGTACTCTGGAGTATCAGTTCTTTCTCCTCACAATATGTAGCTGACTGTGAGCTACAGGTCACTGCACTGCTCAGAATCTCAATAAAGTACCATAGCACCACAATGCACACTGCTAGCTTGACAAAAATAAAAACAAAAATTCAAAATATAGAGTGTAGGGTCTACTGAATGTATATTGTTCTCAAACCATAAGGAAAAACAAAGTCCATTTAGTTACCATTCAGTAGGGACAGTTGTATACAGTTTTAGATAGTAAATACATAAAAATACCCACAGGAACAGAGCAAGCAAATTCAAAGTAGTGGATAAACCTAGAAAGAAGGAAGAATGGGATTGATGAATGCACAAAATTCTTCAGGCATATCTATAATGCGCTACTAATTTTTAAAACTAAGCAAATATGCAAAGTTATTAAATCTTTGTAGACATGGCTAGCTAAGTATATGGATATTTCCTAATTTATTCATGAGTTATTCAGTAACAGCTCATGAAAAAAGTAGATGAACATCAAGCTACCTACTCTTGGAACAGGAGTAACATAACAGAAAGGCAAAGTACTTCAGCAGCCCTCCATCCATGCTTTTAAAATCAGGGACTGTTATCATTATCTTTTATTCTATTTTCTAAAATTAATGCTTTAAGGATTTGTGCTGTGAACACTATCCACGACCAAATGGTTAATCACTAAGAAATTGGTGGTTATATTTCCTATAATTCAGAGATACTAGTGGTTATGAGTAAATCTCATTATGCTATTTTAAAAATCCAAGGGGACTTTAGAACCTATGAAAGGCACACAGAACATGCTAGGAGATAGACTATTTAAATAGTATGCAGAAAATGACAGTTAGGGTCAAGGACAAACAGAATCACTGTACCTATGTCAGAATCTTTGGCGTAAGCAAAGGTATTTTTAAAATGTTGCATTAAGTAGAGGTAAATGAAAGCAAAAATAACCCAGGTTGTTTTCTTGATGTGGCCTATACCTTGTTTGGTTCCCCTGGATTATATGAAGAAAACATAGGAATGTTTCGGATCTCCTCCTCTGACAAACGGTTTCTCTGGATCTCATCTTCTGGGATAAATTCTATTGGTTGCTTCAGCTTCTTAGGCCCAGTCCAACATTGCTCAGGTGGAAAATCAATAACTTTTGCCACATGGAGACTGGGGCCTTTACCCTGTGCTGCCTGTTTTCCCTTGTCCTGGATGAGTGATGGGTTCTCAGCTGTGCCACTACCACTCACTGATGCAGCTGAGACCAGTGAGTGGGAAGCAAAGGGTTCACCTCTCAAAAGTTGGAACTCTTCAAGACGTTTTTTCATTATAGTCTCGTGGTAAAAACTTTCCAGGTTGTTCATGGGATCACCTTTGTTCTTCTTTGGGGGTTCATCTGGATCAAGACAAAGAGATATGGAAGTTCTACAAAGCCTCCCCAGTACAACTTTTTAAAAATTAATAAAAATTAAATTCTGGATCTTAGATACAGAACCTCTTTTAGGAAATGTCCTTATAACATGTAGCAAATACATGTGCATGTACGTATGTGTGTGCATGCGTGTGAGCATGTGCATGTAAGCATATGTATCTTAAGACTGTCCAGCTCAAGCAAGGCCAATACATGGCAGAGTAAGTAAGGCACCCAGAAACGTCAAGTTCATGCAAGTATACATACCTCTAACTTATAAGGACATTTGAAGAACAGAACCAGGATGGCATTTTCATACTCATGAACTTAATAATTCCTACATATCATTTGATTCCAAGGTTATATTTGAAATACCTTGATTATTTCTGTGATTTTTTTAAAGTACATGGTTACATAATCAAGATCTAAATCAGTTTTTTTTTTTGCTATTACAGCTTTTAAATACCTTTTCTGTCCCGTCCCTTCATCAACTTTCCTCCTCTGTCTATTGATATTATAGAACCACTATCTACTCTATGAAGAAATTGATTTAATGAAGTGTTTTCTTATGATAACTTCTTCCCAAATTCTTCCATTTCTTGACAGTCTAATTCAGTAGTCATTTGTCACTATTTACTATTTTTTAAATTATCAATTTGAGTCAAATTTAGTGCATTTCAAATTCTCAACAGATATATAATTGCTCTTATATACCAGATTATCAAGAACAGATAGAGAACATTTATATGTTCTAGAAAGCTACATTAAACATGGTGTCTGTAAAAACTTAACTGGATCCATGTTTAATATTTAAGGCAAAGCAATTCATATATAGCTGTGTATTTCCTATTATACCATGTCCAAGGCACATAACACTAAGCACATTTTTAGTGATATTAAGATTAATCAGTGAATTTAAGTGCTATTTGTGCATCCCCCAATTATTACATATTCCCATACAACTTCTACCTTATAGGATTTATATCCTTGGTGATTACTGTTTAGATCTATTAACTTATGAATTACAAAATGAGGCTTCCTTGACTCTGTTATTTCCTTTGAATTTTAAATCTGGAATCAATAAATCATCAACTCTTTAGCTTTCCTGAATATAGTTTATATAAGAAAAGCAGGATGAATGCTTGATTCTATCTGGTTTTCATTATTCATGAGAGTAAGGAAATATCTAATGGTGACCAGTGGTTATTTTTCAGTATAATTATGAAATCATGTATTTTTATGATTGCTTTTGTTTCAATTAAATATAATAATTATTTGTGATAGTGGACAAACTGTCCCACTTAGGACCTACAGGAGTCCCAAGCTGATCTTGTACATTTTGTAACTTGAAACTGGACTGGTTTTCCAAAGATCCCTGGTTCCTTTTAGTGAAAAGTACTTGGAAACTACTGTTGTTAGGACTGTTCATTGTTGCTTCTAAGCCTCTGCAGTAGACAATGCTGGGATAGTGTATAGGAGAAAAATAGATCTTATATTTAGAACATCATTTCCAATTCAAATTCAATATGACAAGGTTTGTTCTTAAACTTTGATTTTAGACTTATATCTCTTTTCTTTTATTTTATTTGGAGGGTTGTTTTGGATAGTCATGAGGATCAAATCCAGGGCTGCTTGCCTTCTAGGCAAGTACGCTATCACTGAGATTTTATTTCCAGTTCCTCAGATTTTAATAATATTATTAAGTTGGATTATTAGCTCTTTCTAACAATATACTCACATAATTGAATTTTTTCAAAGCAATAATAATAACAATAAACATACAAAACAAAAACAAAATAAAATACTAATAAAACAACAACAAAATTATTGGGTATACTTTTATATTTGCAGTCCTTAGAGAATATGTACAACATTTACTACATAGTAATAGACATGTATTACTTTACAGTCACTATAGCATTTTCTCTTGGTTGTTATGGTACCAGTTATGTTTCTCATTTGTTTTATTTGCTTCAGGTTTTTTTGTTTGTTTGTTTGTTTGTTTGTTTGTTTACTTTTATAGATTTCTTCTTTCTTTGAGTTTTGGGTGCATGTGAAGCTGCAGACTGAACTCAGGCCTTAGTGAATGTTAAGCAAGCATTCAACCGTGAAGTACAATCCCCAGCCCTTTTCTGTTTTTCATTAAAGTTTTTATTACATTTATAATCATATAAAACCTTTATATGGCTCTCAATTGAAAAAGGTTATACTGTACCTTTATGGAAGTATCATTCTATCTCTGATCCCTTCGTTTCATTCCCTGTGTTCCCCATAAATACTATTTCTTATTAGTTTGACTTATGGGTCCAGTATTTCCTTTTTTTCTGAAACTATATGTATACATACATGAAATTCATTAGTTATATTCTTTTCCTATATAAATACTGGTCTGAAGCTTGCTTTTTAGATTTTAACACTATGTCCTATTAGTAATTCTATATTGACATAAAAACTATTCTTTTGCTTTCTTAAAGTTACACAGTACTGTGTGTTTATGTATAATAGTTATTTGGATATTTTCCTATGAATAAACCCTGAAATATGGGTTTTATATCTGAAGTCTTATGGCTGTTTTGAACTATGCCCTGAAAATTAGCCTTGTGTGTTTTTGTGTGTGTACATGTATGTGTGTGTGATAGACACACACACACACACACACGCACATGCACGCACACGCACGCACACACAAACATACATACATACAATTTGGTATTTTTCAAGCATTTCTTTTAAATAAATGCTAAAAGGTGAAATTGCTGAGACAAAAAGAGTAAATGTTTATATACTTCTAATACACAAATTCCACCCTGAGGTAATTGTACTTTTCTGTATTTCTACCAGCAATGTATAAGAGTAGTTATCTCTTAAGATACAAAAAGTGAATTCAAGAAAAAGAAGCCATGAATAAGAGAGAGAGAGAGAGAGAGAGAGAGAGAGAGAGAGAGAGAGAGAGA